GGGTTTAATACTTGCGCGTGATATTTTCCTAATTCAATTGATTTACCTTGAATTTTTTTTAAGGAAATATCACTTTTTCCCAACAATCTTTGTTGCACGTTTTTGTCAAAAATACTTGTAACTAGCTTATCTCTTATCATTCTATCTTCGTATGTTTGTTTACATTTATCATTTTCACACTTAAATTGACATAATGCAGCTTGTGTACGCAACTCCGTAATGTATGCATCTATTATTTGTTCTTCTTTTTGTTGTAAGTTATTAAACTTGAATGTTTCTACTACAAGATTTCTTTTTGGAATTAAGTACTCTTCAAACGGTTTCATAGTTTTTTCTAGTGTCTCTTTTAAACGTGTTGTAAATTCTTAGGCCTTCGTCACCAATAACGTTCAAGAGTATGGCAATTTTAACACTTTCATCTTCTGGGTTATCTTTTTGCAATGCTTTCATATAAAAATTAAACTTTTGTTTCCAAATAACTCATGTTTCCGCAGGATTACTAGAAAAATCTAATGTTTTCGGTGGTTTAAACTCCATTTTATCCACTTTTTTTCTTTTATACACCTGACACCATATCTTATGTTCTGTTTATCAATAAAGCGAACTACCAGCGTTCATATAATTCATCAACAACTATTATATTGTATTTACTTTATTAACCACAGTATACACGACTATTATAATTTTTATACACGTACAAGCAAGTACAAACAAGCGACATGCAAGCGTCTCTCCTAGTATTGTCTTGGCGGGAACGTGCCAACAACCTGAAGTTGTTCCGATACCAACATAAATAACAATAATGTTACTACATTATATAACACTCCGTATGGATATAAATTTTGTAAACAGTAGTTGTATTAGAATATTTATGTTTTACTTAACAATTAAATGATAAATGTGTTATCATATAATTATTATTTCTATTTTGCACCACCGAATTTCTCCGCTAGATGGCGTTACACGAGTTATGTAATCAACAATTCACGCTTGTATGACGTACTCTTCAGGATTTCTCCGATGGATGGTGTTACACATATACAGGGTGTATCTAAATGACTGCAACAAACTTCAAGGGGTGATTCTTTAGTGAATTTTAAGGGTACTTTTGGTTACTATTATTATTAGGAAGTGTCTAGGTACACGCTAACGTGTACGTAAATCAAAAAATTACGTACACGCTAAACGTCATCACAGCGATGACGTCACGTTTAGCGTGCACATACGGAATATTTTTCGGTGCTCGTTAGAACTTTATAACTTTGAGGTTGGTATTGTCGAATTTTCTCTGGAAAGCACAAGGTAATGTCACTTCAGTTAATAAAGTGATGTGTTAACTTGTTTCGAACAACGATACATATTTAGTTGTTAAAAATTATTAAAAATGAAGTGTGGCCAACTATTTCATTCTTTTAATGACTTCATTAAAAGTTTGAGACAATATGAAATAGATAAAAAACAAAAATATGTTATTAAAGGCAGAAGAACGATTGAGGCAGCACAAAAAATATTAAAGCGTAAATTAAACCAAAACCTTAAATATTATGAGGTTCAATACGGTTGCGTTCATGGTGGTATGGTAAGGAGTCGTGGAAGAGGTTTACGTAAAACAAGGTATGTATAATAATTAAATAAAAATATGTATTTATCATATCGTCAACGGCGTTTGATATAACAAAATTATTAAATGTGCATTATTTATATGGATGTTTTAGTACTTTTAAGATGAATTGTCCTGCTATCATTAAAATTCGAGTTACTAAGGAAGGTGATTGCCTACAAATTAAACAATTATTAGAGAAACATGAAAATCATGATATGTCATCAGTACGTAGGCATGATTATGTATATTTTATAGTGTATCCAATAATTTTATATTATCTAACCATATTGCACCTATCACTTTTAGGTGGTGTTTAATCATTTACCATCTAATCGTAAATTAACTTCTGATGAAAAATGTATGGTCGAGGGTTTGTTGGATGTTCGTGGAAATAAAAAGCTGATTCAGCTAAAATATTGAATTTAACTGGAAAATTAAGTACATTAAAAGATTTATCAAATATTTCATATAGTATGAAAAACCTTAGCAACGATTTGATACATGTTGTGAAGGAATTGAAAGACATTCACAGTGAGTACATGGATACCTATTAGAAGTATAACGTAGAATGTTAACAATGCAATAAAATTGTTATAAACTTGGTTACAAACCATTTTTTTTGCAGAATGTAACATATACATCTTACATGATTCTGAAAATCATTTTAAAGCCCTCTACTTTTCAAATGAGTCCATGAGAAGAGCAATGAAATCATGACCAGAATTTGTGTCAATAGATGGTACTTACAAGTTATTAACATAGGATTTACAGTATTTATAATGATTGTAGAGGATTCAAATGGTCAAAGTGAAATAGTAGCAGTTGTTATAACAGCGCACGAGGACAAAGAAACATTTTCTTGGTTGTTGAACACCTTTAAAGAAGAGAATTCTGATTGTGAAAATCAAATAAAATGCTTCATGGGTGATAAGGATCTACTACAAAGAAATGTGATAAAAGAAATATTTCCTCAAGCCCAAGTATATATTTCTTTGTTCCATACTTTAAAGACAATGAAGAGAGAAGTATCTAAAGAAAAAATGCATATCACAAATCAGGAAAGAATTGACGCTCTCAAACTATTGGAGAGTCTTGCTTACAGCCAAAGTGAAGAAGAATACGAGAAAATGTATCAATTACTGCAGGAGGTCGCTTCACAATCATTAATTAACTACTACAACAAAAACTGGCATAATATAAGACATGAATGGACTGTTTATAGTATGTGCCACGGTAATCTGTTAAATAGAACAAACAACAGGTTGGAATCAATGAATGCCAAAATAAAGCAAGTAGTAAAGAAAAACAGCAGCTTCTTGCAATTTGTGAAAGATTTTTTTATTTTTTTGTATTCTCACGAACGTGAAAGAAACAACCGAACAGCTCGTTTAATATTAACAAGGCCTATTACGGTGTTTAGTAAAGATAGTTGCGAATTTAAGTATGAAGAATTTTTAACACCTTATGCCATCCGATATGTCCAGTTTTAAATTGTAGCCTCAAAAGAAGTAAAAGTAACTTTGAAAGCTTGCAACATACATATATATGGAGTGGAATTAAATGGAAACAATTATGACGTTTTAACAATTCGATGTACTTGCATCAACTTTACATCAATGTTCCAACCCTGTAAACACATTTTTGCTGTTAGAAAATTGGAAAAAATGGAGTTATTTGATAAAACTTTATGCGGCGAAAGATGGTCCAAAGAGTTTTATTTAAAACATCAAAGAGTTACCAAAGGGAGAGTCGATAATATTTGTACGGAACCGGTTTCTGTAACACTTGGTAGTGTTCCAAAGATACAGACTGTAAATCAGAAGAGAAAAGAAGCTCTTTTTGTGACAAATTCTCTGGTAAATTTAGCTAGCTTATCTTGTGGCAGTTCCTTCAACTATAAAATGAAAATACTGGGTGAAATAGACACGGCTTGGAGGGAAGGCAAAGTAGTAGCTATTAAGTTAATTGATGGCGACAATTTCATTGATGAAAATACAATTCAATGCAGTAAAAATGTTGAACAATGCAACTTGACTGAGGTATCTAACGTCAATAATGAATTAATTATGATAAAAGATGTAACAACCTCAAACACACTTGGTTTGTGTGCTTTAACTGCTACNTACAATGCGATCAAGAAAGCCGGTCCGCTAAAAACTACTTTCCCAAGCGCTTGATGCCAATACTTACTGCCCTCGTCACAGCGGTCACACCCTCCTTCCACTTGTTTTAATAGTGGTGGGGAAATGGGAGGAAACTTTTAGTTTAGTAAACATAACCTTAAAAGCTCACACGCACAAAATTAAAAATGTTACTCTCGTTAAACAAAATTCGAAATAAATTCTCTCTGGAGTTAGATTGGTGGATGTAAATTTAAATTATAATGATAATAATTGAAAATGATTAATTAATAAAAAGAAAAACCTTTAAATTATTCTTTTGTAATTAATTTATTTCATAAATCAAAAAAAAGATCTTTTATTTTATTATAAAAATAAAGTTTTAGAAGTTTTATTTATTATAAAACGAATTCAAAATGTTGACCATTCTTTTCTAAACATAAAGTGATTCTTCTTTTTATATTATCGAAGACCTGTACAAGTTGCTCTGCAGTTATTTGTTGAACATTGTGTCGTATTGCATCTTCCAATTCTTCTATGGTATGTAAACGGTTTTTGTAGACAGAATTTTTGAAATGACCAAATAAAAAGAAATCTAGAGGGGTTAGATCGGGTGAGCGAGGTGGCCAACATCCTCTACCAATTACTCAATCATCATAAAATTCATGAAGGAATCTTTTATTTGTTCGTGCAGTTGCATTGTCATGTTGAAAAAATCTTTCTTCCAATTCATCATCATGTAATTATTCAATTAATTCTTGTAACAAAGCACTTTGACAACATTCCTAATTCCTCTACACAAAGACTTGTTGAATATTTTCATACCCCATTTTGATCTTTTACTCCATTTCGAAGATAAGATTGGAGATGAAACTTTGAAACTTGTCTTCTTCTAAGGTGAACGGCATGATTTAACCTAAAAATAAATCAACGAAATTTATACCAAACCGATTTAAAATAAAATAATTATTTACCTTAGAGAAAAATCACAATCGAATTTTTGTCTTAATAAAGACAGATAATATTAAATAAAACCGCAATAAATTCATAATGANCAAAATTAAAAATGTTACTCTCGTTAAACAAGATTCGAAATAAATTCTCTCTGGAGTTAGATTGGTGGATGTAAATTTAAATTATGGTGAAAATAATTAAAAAGGATTCACTAATAAAAAGAGAACCCTCTAAGCTATTCTTTTTTAATTAATTTATTTCATAAAACAAGAAAGATCTTTTATTTTATTATAAAAATACAGGTTTACAAGTTGCTTTATTTATTATAAAAAAAATTCAAAATGTTGACCATTATTTTCCAAACATAACGTAATTCTTCTCTTCATATTATCGAAGACGTGTACAAGTTGCTTTCCGGTTATTTGCTGAACGTTTTGTCTTATTGCATCTTCCAATTCTTCTAAGGTATGTAACCGGTTTTTGTAGATAGAATTTTTTAAATGACCAAATAAAAAGAAATCTAGAGGGGTTAGATCGGGTGAGCGAGGTGGCCAACATCCTCTACCAATTACTCGATCATCATAAAATTCTTGAAGGAATCTTTCAGTTGTTCGTGCAGTATGTGCCGTTGCATTATCATGTTGAAAAAATCCTTGTTGCAATTCATCAGGATGTAATTGTTCAATGAATTCTTGTAACAAAGCTTGGTACCTTTCTGCATTGACTGTGTCATGGAAAAACACAGGGCCAATAATTCTACGTCTTGACATAGCAATCCATACTCCTATTTTAACAGGATGTAACTGTGCTTCATTGAAAACATGTGGATTTTCAGAACTCCAATATCGATAATTTTGTGAGTTCACATAACCATTTAAATAAAACCAAGCCTCGTCAGAAAA